AAAATTTTTTTAATTCTTGCTTATTATCCAATTAAAAGAGCATTTCTTAACTTATTTAATTTTGGTTAGGACAATTTATTTATGATATCCTTATTTTGTTGAATGATTAATTTAGTTTCATTGTCTTTATTAAATGATTATTATTAATCAACAGAAAATAAAAAATTTTTTGCTGAATCTGTCTTACTATTAACTTGTCTTGCTGATTTAAGAAAACTATAGATTTTTAAAAATTTGAAAATAAATACAATAAAATATAAATAAGTTGAGAATAATATATATTTTTTATGATCAATATTAATTATTCGATTTTTATTTAATATCACCAATTTATTTATTTAAAATTTAAATTTATTTTAATAAGCTAAAATAAAAGTTATATAAAAAGAATTTACAAAAGTTATTATTTGAAATAAATTGATAGAATAATCCATTTTAAGGTAAATATTTTAAATAAATAATTTAAAGTAAAAATATTAAAATATTTAAAAAATAATTTGGTATTTAAAATTTAGAAAAATATTTTGATTTAATATGTTAGAATTTAAAAGAATTTACCAATAACTATTTTAATAGTTTAATTTGAGATACTTTTTTAACATTTCATGTGCTTGATCCAGATTATTTTTTTTTTTTAAGAATGTTATTTAGTATTGGTCTTCTTTCTTTTAGTATGGTGAGAAATAATAGTTTTAACAAATAAGATATAGCTATAGCTATACTGCTGATGCTTTATACTTTTTATTATTTTTCTAATTATTAATATAAATATAATTTGAATAAAAAATTATTGCTTTGAAAACTATTTAAAATATTTTGTGTTTGAAAACCTAAATAGTCTTTTAACAAGTAGTTTATAAATCTATTTAGGTGATTATTTGTTTAAAATATATAAAATAATTACATGCTTAGCTTAAAAGGTATTTATTCTGCTATGGAGAAAGGGTAAGCCTAAATTAACTTTTAATAGAAATGAAAATATTAATTAAATAAAAAGCCTATTTTTTAATATTTAAAGTTTATTAGAATTATAATGCTATTTATGATTGATAATCAATAATTAGCTTAAAAATAATTCATGATAAAATATTTTATTTTTAAATTATTTAATGAATTATTTATTTATTTTGATATTTAGCTTAAACAGATCAACTTATTAATTTTTGAAATCATATTTGTGAATTTAATGAATTTCACTATTTAATATATTCATATATACCACCCCCAAAAAAATATTGGGCAAACAAAAGATTAGCAGTGTTGCCCCTAATATTTATTTGGGGAGGTATATATGATATGATTGATATGATTGGCAATTTTATTAGATATTTTTTATTTGAAAAGGAATTTTTGATGATTAAATTAATATAAATATATAATTGAATTAAGTAATCCGCATAATATACAACAAAAGATATGTGTGAAAGCACGATTTTTTAAAAATATGATAAAATCAAAAAAGTAACATAATAAATAGAAATCTTACTCTTGCAAAGCTTAATTTCAATTAAATGAGTAATTCCTTCTGCTAATTTGTTAAGTTAAACTTTTAATCGAGACATTAACAGCATTAAATTCAATATTATTTTAAGATTGTTTAACTACCCTGATGATTAGATTATCTTGAAAAATTAATCCTTATCGTTGAAAGATTAAAAATTGAGGGAGCTCGTTTAATCTGAGTGGGCTTAAGTTTATAGCAGTTTATAAATAAATTCATATTTCATTGATTATCTATCTAATGTAGTTGAATAATCAACTAAAGTTTTGACAAGATTGAAAAAATAATTTTGAATATTCTCTAGAATCATTTTTTCTTCAGTGATCTTATTTCTGTTTACAAATTTTAATTGTTCTACTTTGAGAATCTGTTTAAAGCCTATACTTTTTTAATTATTTTATGCCTAAATAAAGTGTTCTGCTATTTTTTATCCAACTTTTGGTTAACTATTTTATCTACTTAACTACTAACACAATTTGTTATATGAAGAAAAATTAATTAATATGCAAACTTCTTTTTTATTATGATATTACAGGTGGTTCTCTTTAATTAAAATCTATGTAATCATAAAATTTCTGATTTTATTTTGATTTTCTTCATCTAAATATTTAAAATATTAAAATAGAAGCAATACTTTTTTTTACTACATTCATATTAATGATACTAAATTTATAATAAAGTTAATCAAAATTATAACAAAAGTAGATTAAAAAATATTAGATTTCTAGTTTTCGAAACTAAAAATAAATTTCAACATATTTTAAATATACACTTAAAATATTAATTCAGCTAAATCATTTTGGCTTTTTAAAACAAAAAACAAATATTTAATATGAATAAAATTAAAAAAGTAAATGGGATTGTAAATTAAACACTTTTTAAAGCTAAATACAACTAAATAATATTGATAATTAAAAATTATAGATTATTAGCTTACTAATATAGAAAAATACCATTCAAAAATTTAGTGAATTGAAATCACTATTTTTTTGAATGGCTGATGTGTTAGAATATTATTTATATAAAAATAAATAAATAATTTTATAATAAAATTTAATTAATTAATTAATTAATAATATTATTAATTATAATTTATATCAAAATTTATGATTTTTCTATTAAATTTTTAATTTTAGCCTATTTTAAAATTTTTTTTCATAATTCAGTAATATTTTATAACATCAGTCACATTTTATTGCGTCATAAATCAGAACATTTACATTTTTTTTACATAAACTTTTTAAAAAATAATTTTTATCATATATGCCTTATGTTCTCCACTTTAATAGCTTCACTCAATCAAATATTTTAACTTAAATTTTTAAATTTAAGGCATTTTTTTTTTGGGTAAAAAAGATACTTAGGGAATGCCTTAATTAATGAGCATTTACAGTATAATTCATTTTTAATTAGTAAAAAATTTAAATTTTACAGGAGATGGGTGCATTTATTTTTAATAGAATTTTTTTTTTTACAATTTTTAAGACTACACTAACTTTTTAAGTAATTAACTAACTAACTCACTCACAAACGTACATACATATAATTTAGAAATTAACAGGAATAAAATTCAACAAAACATAAAAAACATTTTTTGTATAATTATTAAGATATTTGTTATCTTTAATTTTTGAGATAAATTAAGATGTATTTTTGTCTATTTGAATAGTTTCATCATTTAAAGCATATTGAGAAATCCCTAATATTTTAATTTATTTAAAAATATTAAATATAATTGCAAAATGATTAAAGTTTAAGAATTTTACAAAAAATGAAATTGTAATTTTGTGATGTTTTGACTTCTTTCTAAAGCCATTATTAGATTATTTATTGCTTTCTGGCTTAACCTGTTTTATCTAAAAATTAAAATATTTAATTAATTTATTAAAGAAATTTTAAAATATTTAAATATAACTATGAGTTATTTCTTTTATATTTATTTAATAAAATAAAATTAATAAAAAATACTCTAAATTAAGAAATAATTCAGTAATATTTTGGCATTTTTCCAGAGTGTTTGAAATGCTTAGAACTCCTTCGTCTTATATATTATTCATACTAAATAAAATAATTATTTAATTTCATAATAGTAAATGTATAAGTGAACTTTTTAAATTAAGTTAACATAATAATATTTTGTTTTTTAATTATTTTTTCTATTAAATTTCAAAAAATTTACGACAAATTAAGAGCTAAATTAGTAATCTTTTGACATTTTTCAATAGCGCTTGAGATTTCTTAAACCCCTTTAGCTTCGATTTATGTAAAGCTTCATAATTATTTTTTAGTTCATTCAAAAAATAAAATCAAACAAAAAAGCAAAATATTTAAAATAGAAAAAAGTAAAAAAATTAATTAAATTAATTAAATATAAAGATTTTTATTTAATTACCGAAAATCAAGTTTTAGTTAAGTAATGTTTTAACATTTTTCAAAAGCTCTTGAGATATAATAAGCTCCTTCATCTCCAATATCAGCATTTCTAAAAAAATAAAATTTAATTTATTTTTAAAGTAAAATTGTTAAACTATAAAAAAATAACAGAAAAACTTCAATAGTTTAGGTTAGTATTTGTAAAAAATTTTTATCAAATAATGTAAAAGTTCATAAATTAAGACCACAATATATTAAGGCAGTTTATTGAAAAATTTTTATTAATATTTTTTATTTGTACCCTCCTTAATTTAGAAAATGATGTGTGAGTTAGTTAGTTACTTGGTATGCTTATTTAAGCCTCTAATAAATTAAAAAGCTAAATTAAATAAAAAAAGAAAAATACAAAAAAGAAAGTTCCAGTCTAGTAATATTTTATAATTTTTCTAATTAGCCAGAGAGATTCTGAATATTATCAGGTAAAGGTATCAAATTTGTGTCATTGTTTAGATTTTTAAAATAACTAAAAAAATTATATAAAAAGTAAAGTAGAATTAAAGGTTTTAACTACAAAATAAAATATTAATTAATTTGCAATTTAAAAAAAATGTATCAAAAAGTTTTAAGTATAAAATTACTGGAATTTAAGAGATAATTGAGTAACATTTTAACATTTTTCCAACACTTTGTAAATATTTTTAGCATTTTGAGAATTCAAATTTGCTCTATTTATAAGATAACAAACTTTTAATGATATAAATTACTTTTCAACAAAGTTGGTAGAAAACTTTGAAATCAATAAAATTAATGGAATTTGAACATCAAATATCAAATATCAATTAGTTTCTATTTTTCCATTCATTTTTTAATATCAAAGCTTTTATTTCCAAACGCTGCTTTTCAATCAGAAATAATCAATGAAGTAATTAATTAATTAATTTATTTTATTAATTAAAAAATAAAAATGAAAATTAAGAAAATTACGAAAATTCAAGATCTAATTCACTAATATTTTCACTATTTGCCAAAGAATCAGCAAAAACATTAACAAGATCACTCTCTTAAAAGTATTAACTAATAGATTTTTTGTTTAAAGTAATAAAAATAAATAAACTTGCATAGTTTTTTTTATATTTAAATGATTAAATCAAATAAAATTATAGTTTAAAATTACCCAAAACTTAAATTTAGCTTGCTAATTTTTTGACACTATTACAAAGCATTAGTAATACTGATTATACCTTCTGAGATTATTTTATTTTGACTTTAAAAATATTTTATTTATATTTTAACTTAGAATAATTAAACAATAAATTCAAAAGTATTACCAAAGATCGAGATTTAAAAGTGTGAGATTTTATAATTTTGTCAAAGCATTAGCAATATTCTTAGCTCCTTCAGCAGAAATTTTATTATTCCTAAAAATTAATATTTTAAACTAATTACCAAGCATTTATAATAATAAAAAATTTAAGAAACTACTTTAAATTGAGAGTTATTTCAGTGAGACTTTGACAATTTTACAAAAAATTTGCTATTATTTAAATTTGATCATCTCCAAAAGCATTATTACTCAAATAAAAAAATATATTAATAAAATTTTTATATAAAAAATTATTTAATTTTACAGAATATCTTGTTTCAAGTTAAGATTTAGTTTCTATAAATTTTTACATTTTTTTAGAAAATTTGTAATATTCTAAGCTTACTCAAGACTGATTTTATTATTTCTAAATAAATAAATTTATATTTAAATTTAGAAGTAGAAAAGAAATTAATAAATTAAATAGTTAAGAAATAAATTATTTTTTAGATAAAAAAATAAATAAATTTTACCCCAAATCAAGACTAAATTAAGTAATATTATGGGAATTCTCATCATTATTTTAAACATTCAAAGATACATTCACATCAATTTTATTATTACTAAAAAAATTATTTTAAAAATTAAACTTTTTATTGATTTAAAATATAAATAAAATTACTTAAAATTAAGACTGGTATGAGTTATTTTTTAACATTTAAATATACTGTTAATGACACTGTTAAATCCTTCACCATCGATTTAATTATTTCTAAAAATGGAATAAAATTATAAGCAAATATTTAAATTTTGACATAAAATTTCTTATTAAATTAAATTTAATTATCTAAAAAATATTTATAATGTTAAATAAATTTTATGATAAAAATTACTCAAAATCGATATTTAAACCAGTGATTTTATTACAACTTTTCAAAGCATTTAAAATATTCTTAGCTCCTTCACTTGAAATATGATTTTCCCTAACAAAAATTAATTTTAGATTTATGAATAAATTTTAAAATATTTCAAAATCATTCAAAAATTTATATCAAGTATTTAAAAAAAATCATTTTTTTGTTTAAATAAATCAACAAATTTTTGTTAAAAATACTTTAAAGAAAGTTTTAAATCAGCTAGATTTTCACATTTTTCCAAAGCACTAGCTATAAACTTTGCTCCTTCATCTTTAATATCATTCTCACTAGTTAAATTTAAAAAATAAATATGAAATAATTTACAAATAAAAATAAGAAATAGCTTTAATGAAAATGAAAATTACCCTAAATTAATGCTTAGCTAGTTAACATTATAGCAATTAATTAAAGCTCTTGAAATATAATGAGTACCATCGATACCAATTTTGTTTTAGCTATTTAATACAAAAATTGTAAACATTTATGATTAAAAAAGCTTAATATTAGAAAAAAGATAGGTATCAAAAATATTTATTCATCAAATTATTATGATTTGTAATGATAAAATAATTCATGCTATCAGAAACTTACGATAAATCAAGACTCACTTAAGAAAGTTTTTTGAACATTTCCAATGAATTAGCAATATTTTTAATGCTCTCTGCACCAATTTTATTCTTCCTAAAATATTTAAATTATTACAAAATTTTTTACACTAGCTATATTTTATTTACATTTTTGAAAATAAAACCATACTGGCTAAAAATAAATAAAGAAAAATAGTAATAAACTTTCTAGTTATTTTTGTAAGGAATTATGAAAAAATTAAAATTTTAGAAAATAACCTTAAGGAAAGATTAAATATTGTAATATTTTGGCAATTTTATAAAGCGTCTGCAATGCATTAAGCCCCTTCTTCTTTAATATCATTTTAACTATTAATTAAATATTTAAATTAACATTTTCTGAATAAAATAAATTATTTGTTAAGTAAAATGCTAAATAATAAATAAAAAAATTACTTTAAATCAATATCTAATTAAATGGCCTTTCTAAAGTGTTTAATAGCATCTGAAATATACTTAGCTCCTTAAATACCAATTTTATTTGATCTATACAAAAATTATTTTATAATTAAATTGAATAAATTAAAAAAATAAAATAGTTTTATATTTTAAACAATCAATAAGATTAATATGCTTAAATTAAAAGAATACGATAAATTAAGACTTAATTCAGTTATATTTTTACAATTTCTCAAATTATATGCAATAATTTTAGTTGCTTCATCGATTATAGAGCATTCACTAATAGATTTATTTTTTAAATACATTTAAATTAAAAAAAAATATTAAAAATCTTTAAAAAATTCAAATAAAAATTTCATTAAAATAATTTAATGGTTTTTACCTTAAACAAAGATTTAATTTAGTGGTATTTTAGCACTTTGCTAAAGTATTTGCAATCTTTTAAGCCCCTTCATTTAAAATGCTTTTTCCTCTATTTAGATTGTATTATTTATAATAAAAGTTCAATAAAAATAAAGAAAAAATAAGGGATTAATTTTAAGAAAATTACTATTAGCATAGATCAATTTTTAATGTGATTGCAGATTTATCTAAAGCACTCATAATAGTTTCATAATCAAAATTTTTGTATGAGCTAAAGGAAAAATTAAAATAATTAACTTTAATTATTATTATTTTTTTTAATTTAAAAATAATAAAAAGTGAAAAAAAAAAATTGAATAAAATTGATAATATAAATTAAATTGTTTTACTTAAATTGATGGTTTAATTTGATATTACTTTTGTACTATTGCAACATATTTTTGATAACTTAAGCTGCTTCTGAAGATATTATATTGAAACTTTTTAAATATTTTTAATAATTTAAATAGAAATATAAAAAAATTAAACCAATAAAATTTATTAAAATTAATGACAAAATTATTATGTAATAAATTACTCTAAATAAAGATCTAATTATTCCATTTCATGATCCTGCTTTTATTCAATATCTTTAATTTATTAGCTCTGTTTATTTTACCTAAAAAAATATTGAAAAACAAATTAAAATCAAAAGATTAATTAATATTTTAATTAATTTACATCAAGCTAAGACCATGGAAGTAAACATATTTATTGATTTATTCACAATTTTTAAAGCATTAATCTTCACTAAATAATTAACTACCTTGAACACTTATTTTAATTTATTTTTATAAAAATGTAAGGTTTACTAATAAAAATTTTATGAAATAATATTTTGAAAATAAAAATATAAGGGAGAACCTTAATTTTTGAATTTTGACAGTAATTAAATAGTAATTAGTTAATTTAAAAAAACAATATCTTAATATTACAATAGATTAAGATCGAACTAACTTTGCTATTTTGTTAATAAATATTGAGCAATATTTTGAGCTGTTGTAGTAAAAACTGTTTGCCAACTATTCATATTTTAAATATATATAATTTATTTAATAGCATGAAAATTAATTTTTATAAGGATCAACAAAATAACTATGAACTAAGAACTTAAAAATTATATTACTTAATGTAAATTTCTGATAGAGTAATCATTTTTAATTGATTTGGACTTCTAAAATCATTTGTATTAGAGGTTTGCTCGAAACTAATTTATAATAAATTTTGTTTAAAGAAGAGAAAATTTATTAAAAGTAAAAATAAATAAAAAACTACTTTCATAAAAAAGTTTATTTTTAATTAAAGAGAAAGATTGATTAATCTACTGTCTAACTAAAATCCAAAATAAATTAATAATATAAATTTTTACCTTGAAGTAATATTTAATTAAGTAGTCTTTTCATTTTAATCTAGATACTTTTGAGGTTTCTCATTCATTTAATAGCTTAAGTTTTTTTTTCTAATATTTTTGTTTCAATGGTAAAAGAAAATAAGAATCATCAAACAAATAAAAGTGATAAGTGAGAAAAGGAAGCTGCAAATAAAGTTACTATTTTACAAAAATAAGATAAAAGAAAATTATTACACATAATCTACTATTTAAGTAACCTCATATTTTTCTTATAATTTCTCTACTTCTTCACTATTATTTCCTTAGAAACTAGAAACGAAATTATCATTATAATAAATATAAAAATCTATCAAATAAATAGAAAATACTTAAACATTTTATTTTTCATATTTTGCCTAAAAGTTTAGTAAAGATTGTGAAGTTCTTCATATTCTATACAATTACCACTTTGATTATTAAATTTTATATATTAATTTATATTAATAAAAATAAACAAAATTTTTATACAACTAGGTGTAAATAAAATAATAAATGAAAAAATGAGTCTAATTAATTAATTAATAATTAATATTACTTTAAATCAAAAGTTAGCCATTAAATATTTTTATTGCTTTCTAAAGCCTTTGTAAGTATAGAAGCTCCTTTTAAAGTGATGTTATTTTTACTAATAAATTAAAATTTATTTAAACTATTGCCCAAAAATTAATAATTTAAGTATGAAATAATTATAATAAGATTACTTTAAATAAAGTCGAAATTCAGTAATGTTCTTGCTGTTAGTATAAGCATTTGCGATATTCTAAACTCCTTCATCAGTTATAAAATTATCACTTATAATAATTAAATATTTATGTTTTTTTTGCTTTTAAAATGAATGAAGAATACTTTAAACCAAGATTTAGATGTGTTAAGTTTTGACAAGTTTACATGATAACTAAAACACAGTTAGTAACATCATTCCCAATATAATTCTTGCTATAATTGTTTTTGTATTTAAAAAATTTTAATCCCATAAATGTCAATTAAATCATTTTTTTTAATTAAAATCAATATAGAAAGAACATACTTTAAATTAACTTCTAATTAAGTAAGTTTAAGGCAATTCTCAAAAGCACTAGCTAAAATCATAGCTCCCTCAATTTCGATGTTATTCAAACTAATCAAATAAAATTAAAATTTAACAAAATTCGTAAATTATTTACGTTAAATTAAATTACGATAAATTCAGGCTTAATTTAGCAATATTTTGACACATATTTAAAGCACTTGCAATTGAATAAATACCTTCGTCACTTATAAGATTACATCTAAAAAATTAATATTTAAAATAATGAAAAAATTAATTTGAAAGAAGATAATTAAATTAATTGAGTAAATTATAAATAATTTATTTCAATAAATATTTAAAATAATTAAATTACTTTAAACCAAGACTTAATTCCATTAAATTTTGACATTTTTGTATAATATTTTCAATTTATTAAGTCACTTCATTACCTATAAAGTTATCACTATAAATATTTTTTTAATTAATATAAAAGAATTATTTTTGACCTATTAAAGTAAATAAAAAATTAAGAATCGAAACTACTTTAATAATAATTCTAATGAAGTAAGTTTTTGACAATTCTCCAAAGCATTAGCAATGCTCATTACTCCTTCTATCTTTACTTAATTCTTACTAATCAAATTATATATTAAATAAATGTTAATTGATTGAATTTTAAATTTAAGAATTTATTAAAATTAGCTTAAACTTTATTACGATAGATTAAGACTTAATTTAACAAGATCTTGGCTTTTTCTTAAAATAGTTTATGCAATAATAAAAGCACCATCATCATCAATTTCACTATCATTTCTTTTAAAATAATTTTAAATTATTAAGTTGTTAATTTAAAAATAGTTAGTAATATTAATTCATTATTTTCTTTTGAAATAGTAAAATAGCCAATAATTTACTATTAAGTGAATATTAAATAATTTACTCAAAGTTAAGATTCAATTCAGTAATTTTTTGGCACATCTACAAACTTTCAAATATATAAGCTAAGTTGTTACCCATATTGATCAAGTATTCACTTTTTAAATAATTAAAATAAAATAAAATAAGCACAAACACAAAATTTTAATAATTTATATAACTCCACAACTAATATTTAAAAAAATTGAAAATTGTATCATATATAATAAATACATAAAATAATATCAATTTTCATGGTAAAAAAAGTAAATTTAAAATATATTTAAAATTAATAAAGAGTGATCTATGTACATACTAATTTAATAAATCTAATTACCTAAAGTCAAGTGTTAATTTTGTGATATTATTTAGAGTTTTAGCTTTCATAAACAAATCAATATAAAACATCATTGTATCGATTTCTGTATTGAAATGATAAATTATATCTGGGCTAAATCTATCATGAATAATAAAATTTAATTCAAATTTATTAATTTAATCTAAAGAATTGCTTACTTAAATTTTAATTTGAGAGCTTGTATCTTACTTAAATTTGATGTAAAAAAAGTAAAACATGGCATATTTAATAGGCTATAATCGCTAACCCTACTAAAATATTTTATTTAATAAATCAAGTTTATAAATATATCTTTGAGAAATTAATAAATTAACGATAATTTATCATGAAAAAAGATATTTAATTTTTAGTAAAATATTTAAAAATTAAAATATTTAAAGAACTTTAAAAAATTTGTAGCTTATAAAATTAACCAAATAATTTTACTATATGTTTAAACTTAAAGATGCTTCCTTCTCAATTTTATAGTGAGATTAATATTTATTTTAGATTTCAACATTCAGATTTGTAATTTCTTAATAAATCTTCTCTTTTTCATGCAAGCTTTATTGTAGTTTAATAATAAATAAAATTAAATATTGACATAAAAAGAAAATTAATAAAACAAACTAAATATATTTCAATTTCTTTAAATGTTAAATGTTTTTAATTTAAATAATTACTTTTTTAGATTACAAAGTATTAAATTACCAAAATAGAGCTAAGAATTAAATTATTCAAATCCTTCATTGAATTTTTCCAAAGAACCTATGTAATTTAGACTTATTTTTTCACAATCAAAGTATGGTATGAAATTAAGCAAGCTGATTGTTTCTATTTGATTTTAAGGTATCTCATTATTTTTTTGATTTTCATTTTTTGATTTAGGCTTTAAAATAGTTTATTTTATAAGACTTATTGATTAAATTACTTGTTTTTCTTTCTATCCCTTTTCTTCTTCATTAAAAAACTAATAATTTTGTATATTGTTTCTTTTAAGATACTTTAGACAGTAATTATTTTTATTGTATAAAACATATTCCTTATATGGTAATTAGTTACTTTTTTTTATTTTAACCATTCTATTTTTAAATTTTTGTTCTAAATTATCTAAAATTTTCTAGCCACCATCAAAGCTATAAATATTTAATTGTTATAGCTTAAAAAATATTGAATATTATTGCCAAATGCTTTTGTCAAATTAAATTTATAAGTTTGATTTTAGCTTAATGTCATTTAAGCATTTCAAAATGATTTATGGCAAAAGCAAAATTTCTTTTTCATATTTAACAAATAATTTAATGTCTAGCTATTCATCTTTTTAAAAAAGAAATTTGTAAAGATATAAGCCCATTTCTTTCAGTAATTTTTATTTGTAATAAGAATCATGATTCTTTTTATCATCTTGAATAAATTAAATTAAATCGTAAAGAGATTAGTCATAGCAATTTTACTTTCTTAAGTACCTAATAAATTTTGTAATTATCCTATAAACCATATTGAGCTCCTAATTTTCATCTTATTTTTTTAGAGAATCATAAAAATCTCTAATGATTGGATAAATGTCACTTGATTTTAGCAATAGAAGCTCTATTATCTTTATTTTTAATTTATCAAACATTTCATCTGAATTGGCTAATTTAATCAAATCAATCAGTTTAATTTGATTTTCTTAAGATAAATTTGTCTTATTATTTAGTTTTATTAAGATCTTGCTTACAATTGTAATTGATTTTATTAGGATTTCTGATTAGCTATCATCTTTAAAATTTTCTCTAAAAATTTCATTAAAACATTTGAGAGATTCTTCATATTGTTTTCTTTTACATAAAATATAACTTTTAGTTATCAGTGCCTTAATTTTAATTGAAGTTTAATCTTGCCTTAAATATGAAATAATCAAAATAGCTATTTCAGCATATTAATATTCTGATTCATACTGAAATATTTTATTTTCTTTCTTGATTACTAAGTATTGCTCTATCTATTTTAAATATTCTTCTAAGAATGCCTCAATTACTTCATAATTAACAAAATTCATTAAAATATTTATAAACTTTCTTGGCAACTCAAAGCAATCTAGATTAATAGAGTTTTTATCATCTTTACAAATTTCTTCGTCTATAAATTTATTTAAACAATCAGAAATTTCTGATTGATTTTCTAATTACATTAATAACTTTTAGATAGTTTTACCAAAAGAATAGATGTCATGATAAAAAGGTAAATCCAAGCTTTAATTTTATGGTATAAAGCCAGGTGTATACATTTTAAAATCACAAAAAGGATCAATAAAATTAACTAACTAAGAAGCACCAAAATCAGATAACTTGTAGTTATTATCATCAATTTTTAAGATATTTCCTGGTTTAATATCTGAATGATAGATATACTTTTATCTAAGTACAATCAATAAATGAAATGCAGTAGAAATAAATCTTAAAATTTCTCGAAGACTAAAAACTTTTTTTGATGAAATTTCATCTTAAAGACTCATTTAACATTTTTACATAACGTGTATGATATACTTGGTATCATTATCTTTATCTTCTACTAGATGAGAAGTATTTAAATCTAAAATATTTTATTCTTATAATTCCTTAATACTGTATAATTCTAATAGTTATTCATTTAGATCCTCATCTTCATCTAATTTAATTACTCTATAAGCTATACTTTCATCATATGCATGTGTAAATATATCTGCCTCACCTCCACTGTTAATATGATCACCTAATTAAAATATTTATCTTAAAAATTGCTCAGAATAAGCATCAATATTTTTTTGAAGTTTATTTGAAAAGTTCTTTTAAATTTTTTCATTTTTCTATTAACTTTCTAAAATTTCTTTGATGGTTTCAAATCTCTTAACACCTTATTATCCAAAATAAGAAAATGAATTTTAATTAGAAAGGCAAATTCCTTAGAAATCTGATAACTGAGAAGTTGTTTATGATTATTATGAGATAATTGTAGTGCTTTCAGGTTATTCTGTCTTTTGTTCAACTTAAATTTTTTGTTTTTCCATTTTCAAGCTTTAATTTTATTTTTTTTGGATTTCTAAATACTTGTCACACAAAATTTATAAAAGTTAATTTAGTTCCTTATCTAATTTTCCAAATTCTCCTTATTGAGTGTTAGAATAATTTTATTCATCATATTAAGTTTCATTAAATTCAACTTAAATTTTGTTCTCCTCTAAATTTGCATTTATCAATGAGCTAATTTCTTATCTATTTTTCTTATTGATTGTTTATTCATAGCTATCAATAATATCTTATTCATGATAATTTTATTATTCTTTATAATTAGCCTCTTTTAGATTTTTACTACCTCCAAGCAATTGATATTTCATTTAATTACAAATTGCATTTTCTTTTTGCATAATTTATTTAATTCTAGCTTTTTATCCAATTAAAACAGCGTTTTTTAACTTATTTAATTTTGGTTAGGACAATTTATTTATCATGTTCTTATTTTGTAGATTGATTAATTTAGTATGATTGTCTTTTTTAAATGGTTATTATTAATCAAAGGAGAATTATAAATCAGTAGTAGAAACTATCTTTATATTCACTTGTCTTGCTGCTTTAAGAAAACTATAAATTTTTTAAAAATTTGAAAATAAATACAATAAAATATAAATAAGTTGAGAATAATATTTATCTTAAATACTGTATTGTATTTTATTTTTTTATCTCCAATTTATTTGTTTAAAATTTAAATTTATTTTAATAAATTTAATTTTATTTTAAAATAAATTGATAGATAAAGTCAAGTCATCCGTCTATTTTCCAAATAAGGTAAGTATTTTAAATAATTAATTTATAGCAAAAATTTTTTAAATTATTTAGAAAATAATTTAGCATTTAAAATTTAGAAAAATTTTTTGATTTAAAAGTTAGAAGTTTAAAAGAATTTACTAATTTCTATTTTGATGGTTTAATGATATGAATACATTTTACTTTATATTCTCTTTTAAAATGTAATGAGATAGATTCATATTTTTTTCCATTTTTAAGAATTCTATTTTTTAGCATTGGTCTTCTATCTTTTAGTATGACGAGGAATAACAGTTTTAATAAGGAAGAGATAACTTAAGTTATACTGCTGTTGCTTCACACTATCTAATATTTAGCTAATTATTAATATAATTATAATTAGAATAAAGAATTATTGCTTTAAAAAATATTTAAAATATATTGTGTTTAAAAACTTAAATAATCTTTTAAGAAGTAAGTAGTTCGTAAATCTATTTAGACTATTATTTGCTTAAAATAAATTTAAAATTATAAAAAGATTACATGCTTAGCCTAAATGATATTTATTCTGCTATGAACAAAGGGTAAGTCTAAGTCAACTTTTAATAGAAATGAAAATATTAATTACATAAAAAGCATATTTTTTAATATTTAAAATTTCATATGAATTATATATAATTCTGTTTTTGCTTGATAATAATTATTTTAAAAATAAATAAATCATGTAATCAAATAATTTATTTATTTATATATTTATCTTAATCAGATCAACTTATGTATTCATTTTTTAGAATAATTTTTGTTACTCTTAAATACAAAAAAAATATTTATGATTGGAAATCCTTTTTTAATGGTTTTAATTGAAAAAGAAATTTTAAATGATCAAATTAATAATTTCAAGTATATTAACTATAGAATTTAATTAAGCAATCTGCTATAATATGTAATAAAAGATATGTGGTAAAGATCATTTTTTGTAAACTATGATAAAATCAAGAATAAGCAACAGAATATGTAGAAATTTTACTCTTGCAAAGCTAAATTTTAGTAAAATGAGGAATTCTTTCTGCTAATTTGTTGAGATTAACTTTTTATTGAGAAATTAACAGCATAAATTGCAATATTAGTTTCAGATTGTTTAACATCCCTGATGATTAGATTTACTTGAAAAATAAATCTTTATTGTTGCAAGATTAAAAATGGAGGGAGATCATTTAATCTGAGTTAGCTTAAGTTTACAGAAGTTTATAAATAAATTCAGAATTTATTTCTTATCTATCTAATGTAGAAATTTTATCAACTAAAATTTTGAGAATATTGAAAAACTAATTTTGAATATTCTCTAGAATCATTTTTTTCTTCAACGATCTTATTTCTGTTTACAAAACTTATTTGATCTGCTTTGAGGATTTCTTTTAAGCTTATTCTTTTTTAATTACTCTAGATCTAAATAAGATTTTATGTATGTTATTTTTTATGCAATTCAACTAAATATGATATTTTTTGTTAACTAACTAACTATTTATCTACTTTTCTTTCTACTAACACAATTTGTTATATGAACAAAAATTAATATGCGAATTTATTTTTAATCTGATATTACAGATAGTTTTCTTTAATTAAAATCTATGTAAGTAATCACATATATTAATTTCTGATTTTACTTTAATTTTCTGATAACTTAGCACGCAAAAAATAGTAAAAATAGTCTTTTTGTTTACAACCGTTCATATTAATGATACTAAATTAATAATAGAGTTAATCAAAATCATAATAAAAATAAATAAATAAAAAAATATTAGATTTCTAGTTATTAATACTTATAATAAATTTCAAAGTTAGGATATTTTATGTTTTTAAATTATTAATTTAATTAATTATTTTGCCTTTTATAAACAAAAAACAAATATAAAATTTAAAAAGTGAATGCTTTTGTAAATTAAATACTTATTAATAATAAATACAGCTAAATTATTTAGATAATTAAAAAATCATCCATTATTAGCTTACTAATATATATTAAATTAACAAGTTTATTTTCAAATATAAATGGATTTCTGAACTAATCTCTTGGTTTTAATAACTTTCATTTTCATTTAAAACTTTAATTCTTCACTAATTTAATTTCTTCTATTTTAATTTTAAAAATTATTTTATCTTTTTTACTTAGAAAAGCAGTTATATGAAATTTAAAAAATTGCTATAAATACAAAACTTTTAATTATTAAAAAATATTCTAAAGAATAATAATAACTGTTTTACCTAATATCGAAAGATAAATTTTAAAGTTTCATGCACTTCTTTAAAGCAGAGCATAAATTTTATGCACCCATATCACCAATCTTATTACTGCTTTTAAAGTAATAAAAAATATTTTAATTTTTATACATAATTAAGGAATAAGAGCAATAATTATTTATTACCTTAGATAGAGAATCAATTTTGACATATTTGAGTACTCTTATAAAGCAGCTGCCAAATTTGAAGCACCATCGTCATCAATTTAGCAATAACTTGAATTATTTTTATATGAATAACAAATGAAAAACAGTACTAATTTAGTAAATATTTAGTTCCAATTAACTCAATAAAATATTTGATTAATTTCCTAAATATTTTGATGAGCTTATTTCAAATATAAATAGTTATAATACAAATAAAAAATGATTTATTTATTTATTTTTACTCAAACCATAATGCCAAAATTGATAGATTTATACAGGAAGATAAATGAGAAACTAGACTTGAAAGGCCCTTACTTTTAATTGAATTATTTCTTTTATTTTATCATAAAAATATTGTCTTTATTATTTCATATAAATAAGAGTATTATGCTAAATTTATTAATATTAAAATTAATTAAATAATAGATAAAATATAAAAATTCAACAAAAAACTAAGTGTATTTTACTCATTTTTTTTATTTTATGAATAGTTTTTATATAATTAAATAAAAAAAGCATAATTTTTACTAAAACCATATTGTCAAATTTTGAAGTAATAAAAGATTAGCTAAACTCTTGCTTAAAATAGAAACTCCTTCAGGTCCAATTGAATTATTGCTTAGAAAAATTATTAAAAGATTTAAGAATAAATAAAATACTAAGTTTTCTTCAAAATCTGATGAAAAATTTTAATTTAAGAATTTAATTAATAAATAGATGAAAAAATATATTTTGTGCATATAAAAAAATAAACTAGTTTATTTACTATAACCAAAGTGTTAAAACTTAAATATTAGTCATATTAGTTAATGCAATACCTAAACCTATTATACCCAAATCACCGAGTTTGCTCATACTTTTTATATTTTTGAGAATTAATAAAATAAAATCAAGAAGATATTTAAAAATTATAATAAAAAATATTTAATATTAAAAAGAAATAAGTCAAAAAATTCATCAACTTAAAAATAAATAAATTTTAAGCAAAAAAACAAATAAATAAATAAATCCTTGAAGTTATCTTTAAAATTATAAAAATATATTACCTATAATCAAAGAACATATTTAAATATTAAAAATTATATATTTAATTAAATAAATATTTTTTTAAATTATTAATTGAATTTTCATTAGATAAAATAATCACTGATATTCATTCATTCATATTTATTTTATCAGTACTGGCTAAACAAATATTTAATCCAATAAAGGGATAAAATAAAAAAATTTAAATGATCCTTTCTATCCCTGAAAAAAGATTGACTTAAATTATTATTTCAATCTTCTAATAATTTATAAAAAAATTTATATTTACACATTTTATTGAATAATTTAAATTCTCCTAATTAATTTATAGTTGATTAATGGTATATCTCAAAATAAAATTTGCCAGTCTCCCTCCCCTTAATCCCCTCCTCTATCTCAAAGTTTTTTTTAAAAACAAAATGAATATTGAAGTGAGAATTTCAAAGTTATGGAGTGGGGGAGGGGGAGGGGAGGGGACATATTATTTATTTTTTATCAATTTCTAAATTTTCTCAAATTAAAAAATGTTTTCACAATTTATTCCAATAAAAATGAAAATTTTGATTAAATACTAAAGAAATTTCTACCCTGTAATGAAAATTGTGCTCATAATTGGGTAGATAGACTTTCATAATTTTTGATATAGGTTTCTGGCGATATATTTGATATATAAATTTTAAGATTAGATCTGAAATAATTTTTATTTTTGAAATTGCGAAATGTATTTATTTAAACAGATATATTTTTATAAACTTAATTATTAATTATTGAATCTAAATATTTAAAACCACAATAAATAAATTAAGATAATTTTAATAAAATTTAATTATTTGATAAAGATATGTTTATAAATTTCTTATTAGTGTGGGTTTTTAAATTAGATTTCAGATTTGGGTAACAGCTATTTGATGGGATTTTAACAAATCGAAAAGGCAGTAATTAATATAAAAAGTAATAGTAATTTATATTTTACCTTAGATTGAGATCTAAAACTGATAGATTTTTACATTTTGCTAAGGCTGAACCTAAAAACTATGCACCAGCTTGTTCAATTTTATTTTAACTTAATCATAAAATAGCAATCAATATTAATTATGATAAAATTAATTAAGTTTTATTTAATTAAAAAATTTTTTTAAATTAATTCAATAGAATCATAAAAAATTTATAATAAAATAAATAATATAAACTATTTATTATAAATTTGATTCAATGCAAAAAATGATAGAGGCTTGAAAAAAAAAATAGTTTTACGATAAATCTAATGTTAAATTTGAAAGCATATTTTAGTTTACAAGAGCATTTCCTAAAATTTACACATCCTAATCTCTGATCTAATTTTTACTTTTTACAAAATTAAAATGTTTTAGTTAGTAAAATTTAAAAAAATAGAGTGAGAAAAAACTTACTTATCAAAAATATAAACAAAAATTTAAAAATTCATAATCAACTAGATAGCTTGCTTAGAATCTTTTATAAAATTATGCAAAATGTTAATTTAATTAATATCATAATATTAATTATAAAATTATTTTGTTTAAATATAAAAACAATCAAATAATTTTTACCTTAGTTATAACCTTAAAATTGAGAGATTAGAGCAGTTTGTTAAAATACAAAATAAATCTAATCCTTTTAAATCACCAATTTAGTTAACACTTTAGTATTAAAAAAAGTTATTTACCAAATAAATTAATTTTTTAATTTTTATTTAATTTAATTTAAAATACTTAATTTAATTTTAATTTAACTACAGATATTCATTTATTAAAAGTGCTCATGGAGACATCTAAAAGTTAAATAAAACAACAAAAAAAATATTACTTTAAATATAGTGATAATTTCGAGAGATTAGTGCATTTTGCTATAGCAGATATTAAAGATTATGCAATTTAGTTATCAATTGAATTTCCACTTTTTATATAAAATAAAATTGATAAAAAATTTTTAACTATTTCTTGAGCAAAATTTAACTTAAAAATAAATTTAAAATAAAATTAAGGTAAACACTCATTTATTCATATCAAAATTTGGAATATTTGAAGGAAAAAATAAATGTATGCAAAAAAAATACACTCATAAAACAAATTAAAATTTTAAGACTAATTATAATATGAGGATTTATAGCATAGAGTTAAAAAGCAAATTTACACTAGATCTATACTCAAAGTGGATAGCTGAGTGCATTTTGATAAAGGAGAGCATAGTCCTGATATACCTTATTGGTCTACTTCATTATCACTTTTATTTTAAAGATAATAAATATATAAGTTTATTTGATATAATCAAGAAATAAAAGAGATTTTAAAAGACTCAAAATATTAACAAATAATAGCAATAAAATTAAAAAAATAACATTTATTAAATATATTAAGAATAATTGAAGAAAATAAAAATCGATTAATATCAAATTTTTTGAATAAAAATAAAAAATATAAAAGTCAAATAACATATTTTAATTTTACCTAAGATTTAGTGTTAAGGTTGAAAGTTTAGTTAAATCTGCTAAAGTATTTCCTAAAATTACTAATTCTTATGATTTTATTTAACTACTCCTTTTAATAGGTTAAACAAAAATTTAAATAAAGAATAATTTTTTGAAGATAAAAAAAGTCAAATTTAAATGACAGAAAACATGACTAAAATGAATTAAAATAAAAGCACAATAAATCATGGAAGAAATTATTTTTACATGAGATCAAGAGTCAGAAATGATACATTAGAGCAATTTGATAAACTAGAAAAGAAATCGAAAATATGTTCATCATCAATTAATTATTCACTAAGAATTTAACAGAATATGAATCAGTAAATCTCAAACAAAAAAGAATTTAATATTTATAGTTTAAGCTGAAAATATGATATTAAAAATTTTTTGATTATAAATAAGTTATTATTTTACTTTATAAATAATTATAAAAATACTTTATAGTAAAATAACAGACCTTAATAATGTTTAATAAATTTATTTGATGATTTTACCTTAGATCAATATAAATGTTTGTAAGAGATTAAAAAGAAGAATTTTAAAACTTTTTTATTAGAAATTTATTTTAATTTTTAGTTTGAGAACTGTTTGTTAATTACATCTTTTAGACTGTTAAAGTATTTTTAATTTTATAGCATTACTTTTTTTTAAATAAAACTAATTTTTTAAATTCACCTTAAATTAATTTGTTAAATGTAAAATGTTAAGATTATATTTTAACTTATTGATATTTAGATTGAAAATAATTATAGCTAGTTTATATACAATACAACTTCTTTTAAATTTGTATATACTTAAATCCGCGCATTTTTTATAAGCCCAGTCATTTAAAAACTAGTTTTTCATAAAAAATTAATTAAAACGCATTTATTTTTAATAAAATCACAGGTAGATTTGTCAGATAAATTCTGAAAAACAAAAATAAAACAAGCAATTAGGCTACTTAGCATTTAATTTTTAAATAAAAACTATTGAAATTCCGCTGACATTATGTTAGTATCCAGTCAGCGGAATTTTAATAATTGGATAGCAATATTATGAAAAAATTTATTGAAACATCTTGCTCATAAATTGTTTTTTTCATTCTACTCCTCCAACTTTAAGTATTAAATATTTGTTTCAAAGAATTTAAGTTTATCTATGGTTAATTATCAAATAATTTTTACAAAAAATTAATTTTGTTCATATTTACTAAGAGGATTCCTCATCCAAGATGAAGAGAAGAATATATGAAATAATAAAAGAAATTAAAAACATAATTGAGTTTTAAGTATTAAAAAATATAATAAATTGATTGAAAGATAAAATATAAACAAGACGTAATTTCTAAAAACCTTATATTTTTATTTAATATTGTTCTAAATGATTATGATAATCAAATTTACAGATGAGATATTAAAAATAGTTTGATACATAAATCTTGTTACGTATTATTTTTAATTAATCAATTTGCCAATCAAATTTATATCAAATTGTATTAAAAACTAATAATCAGTGATATAGCTTGTCTAATTTACACAATAATTAATTCTGAATAAATCTGAGCATTTTTTTTAATTTTGATCAAATCAATTCTACAAATCTAATTTACAAGTGAGGAATAAAAATCTGTACTAAAATAAATTAAGATTAACAATCTAATTATCATAAATATTCTCGTATAGAAGATCACTCACTAAATAAAACATGTAAATCTTTTATTGAATTTCCAAAGAAACCAACACCATAAAAAAATATAAATGATTGAATGCCTCACTAGAAATTGATTCTAATGTTTAGAATATTTATGAATTCTAAAATAATCAATAAAATCAGCAAAAAATATAGAAAACAGATTAAAAAGAAAAGTCTAATGAAAAGTGCGAAGAATGCCTTGTTTATGGCTTTTGTAATTGCCATAACAATACAATTTTCTCATGGTTGGATTTATACTCATTACAATCCTCCTTAAACTGATATTTTTGGACCTGCCAGTAAGACTTACCTAACTATGTAAGCGTTCACTGATTTGATTTTACAAAACATGGTTTTTCATCAGTTTAACCCTGATTATAAAAACATTCCTATTGCTTCAATGGATCGTGCTATTTCAGGAATTCCAGTTTAATTTCAACTTTATATGCATGAATCTAAGGTTGATTCTCAATAAACAACTATTAATCAAACAAATAACACTTATGTCATAAATTGTAAGAATGTTAGCTTCAAATTGCACTTGCACTTAACAGTAAATGGTAAAATATTTGACATTCCTGCTACCACAGACAATGCTGAATTCTCAATTTTCTTCCAACTGCTATTTAATGAATAAGGTCTCATATATGTTAACTCCACTAAAGCCGAAGTTTAGATTAATTCATACATGATTCCTGCTGGTTTCTTTGATGCTGGGCTTGACTAGAATATAGCTTTAATGGAAGTTTAACTCCCTCATGAATTTAGTAAAAATTCATAATTTAATTTAAAATTTAATGTTTTTTAAACTTTTGAGTAAATTTTTATAATTTCTCACAAATAAAAGTCCCTCGACATTTTTTGATTTATTTAATAATTTATTTTACAAATGAATTTGTGTGCTTAATTAAAAAGTATCAATACTTAAAATCAATAATTAAAAAATAATAAATAGTGAGAGTTCCTCCAGATGCTATCATGTATACTATTAAATTTTCCTTTGAAAATTAATTGACAGATATCTTGAGAAGTTGGTTAGCTGATATTAGCGTTTATTCGAATATTTCCTTGGATCGTAACTTTACTTCCTTACCTTATATGGCTGGTGATAAAATTGTGTTTGAAAGAAACATGTACTTCTATAATAGCTTAGTTCCAAAGGCAAGACCTAACATTCCTCCTCCAACTGTATTCCCTAGCAGAGATAATCTTTGTCACAAACAAGAAGACACTTTGATGATGAATGAATACTTTTTCAATTCCCTTTTCTATGCTATGCATGATGCGAACATGGTAATGATTATTACTCTTCTTTTAATTAACTAAAAATAATGTAATTTTTATTAATTAGCTTTAATTCACATTAAACAACAATAATTTACCTATCGAGAGTAAGCAAAAGTTGACTGTTTACTAAATTGATAATCTAATTCCTGGCCTAAAGCAAAAATTTATTTAGGATTACCCTATGACTATAACCTTTAAGACCTTATCTCATCCTATGACTTCTATTTTAGGCGAAGTTTTCTTGTTTAGAGAACCTAAAGTAATGACTAAAGTAGAATTAGAAATGAATCTTTTTGTAGATATACCCACTTAAGGATAAGTTTTAATTGCCGCTTTTCAAATTGTTAGTCACGTTGAGTTATCTATGAGAATTGATATCAACTAAGTAGATAAACCAAATTTAATTTAAAAACCATTTATTAATTTATTTTTTTTATATTTTCAAAGCTTTTCCTATACTTTGAAGGAGTCCAAATTACGAATTTCAAGAAGTCCAAGCAAGGTTTTAACGAAAATGAAATTTAAATCGATGAAAATAGAGTAAAAAACGCTATTTAAAGAGTTTTCTTGTAATCTATTCCAAGACTTACAAACTTTTTGATGCTCTCTCATGGTATTTAGCTTATGCCCTTTTAAAATGTTGAATTAATCAATAGTAAAACTGACATCGCTCCTAACCATATTTCTACCCAAACTGATCTTTAAATATTTTAAATCACTAAGAATCCCTTCCAATCTTTCCCTGCAATGGTACTCCGAGTATAAAATAGATTTCTTGACAGGCTTAAAGACGAATTTTTAGAACGTTTAATTCCCTAGGTAAAAGCAATTTATGTTGGTAATAAAGAAGTTGGTAATTGGTAAGGCATAAAATTTGAAATATAAAATTTTAGAATTCCTTAATTTTCTATTGACATAGCCAATACTGATTTTAGAGGAAATGAGTAAGGGAATTTTAATATTCACATTTCTCACTTCATTATTGAACCTGTCCTTACTTTTCATGCTGAAAAAGTGATAGATTTTTGGCTTTTCAAAGAAAAATTAGAAGCAGTAAGAAACTTATTTATTTAATTAATTTATTTTTAAATATTTTTTTTAATTTATATATAGTCTGTTGGGGTTGATTTAGTTCCTAAAATTAACGATTTTGATGCAAATGTCAAAATTGATTTGGATTAAAATGGATAGATACAAGCAACACTTCAAAATATTAATATTAATTGGGATTTTAAACTTTAATTGAAGGTAGGTGGGTTATTTTAATGGCTAGCAGATATCATAGATTGGGTATTGAATGACACATTTGTCCATAGAATATTAGTAGATATACTTGCTAGTGTAGTAAAGGATAGTTTAAAAAAAATTATTGAAAATTAACTAACTTAAGCTCTCTAAAAGATATATTTCATTAACTTAGGAAATGGCATATCTCTTGATATCCATTAAACTGCATCTCCAATAGTTAATTCTTAATTTATTGAATTTTAATCCGCTTTTTTCTTTTTCCCATCTGATTAATACGAAAGACCTCCCTTCAGTCAACCAGTTCTCCCAGATTTCTCTAGCAATTCTAATGATATTGAAATGATGATCCACGAATACTCTCTTAACTCTGCTGGTTATTTTGCATTTACATAACGAAAACTCGATTTGATTATTACATATGAAATGTTTTAGAAATCAGATAACTTCAATTTTACAGCTGAAGTTTTTAAGTGGACTCTACCTGCAGTATAAAGAAAGTTTGGAAAAGATGCAAAAATGAATTTAGGTATTGAATCTTTATTTTATCCTTCTATCAAGATTAAATCTAATGAGCTTTCAGCCAGCATAGCAGTACTTTTAGATCTCTAAGTAAGAAAACCCCAATTCGATTCTGATGGCAACTAACTAGAAGATGAACAAATTACAGTTATTACAATCGATAGCGAACTTGACATATCTGCTAAAGTTTATGAAGAAAAACAAATTCTTAAATTCTCCATTGAGAATTTTAGCTTTTCAAGGCTTGAAGTACTTATTTATTTACTTACTTTCTTAAAATTTATTTATTTTTAAATTTAAAAAATAATTAACTAAATATAGGCTTTTGGAGGTGAAGTTGAACCAGGTATCATCTTCAAAATATTTGGCCACTCAACAGTTAACAAAATATTGAATATGGCTATACCTTTCATTAACGAATACTTGTTTGCTAACAATGGAATAGATCTTAACTAAATACTTGTCTAAAACTTAAAAATTTCTAATATTCAGATAAGTTTAAATGAAGGCTTCATTTATGTTGGTACTGATGCTGATATTGTCTGAAAAAAATATTTTTTTAAAAATAACAATTATAAAACAGATAAAATAAATTTATATTTATATAATATAAGCAATATATTTGTTAAATAACTAAATGGTTTTAACTTTAAAAATCTTTAAATTTTACCATCTTGTTTATTATAATTTTTTTTTTTTTATAAACGGCAAATTTGGATTTGAGCATAGTAAATAAAATTTATTTTATAAATTGATTGCTCTTTAAACTAAATTACACATTAATTTTATTTAAATTATAAAAATGAAGTGCTTTCTTACTTACTTATTTTACTTTTGAAGTAAAAGAGTTAGTTTATTTGCTAATTTTTAAAAAAGGATTTTTGATGAATTGTAAGCTAATAGAAAATATTTTGTTATAACTAGATATAAATTATCATCAATAGAATCTTTTTAAAGAATTATTGATTTATATTTTTTTAAGATTTGTTATTAACTATTAATTAATTAATTTACGTTTTTAGAAGTATTTTTAATTATTTTGATTAAGATTATTTGTTAATAAAATCTGTATTTATTTTATATATTAATTAGCGATCAGTCAAACGGATTATAAAAAGGATCAAATCATAGTTATAAGACTTAGAGATATATAAAATGATTTTCTAATAATAAAGTTAGTTGCAGAGAAATAACAGTGGTGTTATTACATAGCTAACACTTGATGAGATTAATAGGATATATGATTCAAGAAAAAAGATTGATTTAAAAAAACTGGAATTTTAGTCAGATAATTATAAATTAGTTACTATCAATGGGATAAGCTAATTTCCTAATTTAGCAAAAGTTAGTCACATCAATTTAGAGAGTAATGAGTTAAAAAATATAAATGAACTTTCAGAATTTCCTGAGCTCGAATACTTAAATGCTAGCTACAATAAAATAGAAAGCTATGAACTCAAAACGCCAAAATTAAAAAAGTTATATTTGAGTCACAATTATATAAAGTAGATATTTCATTCAGCAGATTACTTTTTGAATTTAATTGTATTAGATGTCTCACACAATAATATTACCTTAATCACAGAAGAACAAATAATAGGATTTAAAGTATTGAAGAAATTCTATTTTTAGCATAATAAAGTACAGTTTAGAGACTCATCTGTTTTACATTAGCTATTGATAGGTTTATCTCAACTTTAAAATTTAGAAGAAGTAAATGCTTTAAATAACCCTTTTATTGACACATACAAATCAAGCGAATGGCCTAATCGCTTAGCATATTATATGATGACTGAAAATTTAAGAGCTCTAAAAATTAATGAGTTAGAATATAAACCTTCTTAGTACAACACTCTTCTAAAAAATTTAAAAAATTTAGAAAACATGTATGATGGAAAGAAGAAACCTTCTAAAAATGTAGACGAAAAGGTAAAGCAAATCAATTAATCCAAATTAGATGAATGAATTAATGTGAATAATTTTAATATAATTTGGTTAGGATATCATCCAGGTGCAAGACATGGTTGATTAGATTGAAAATTGCAACAACAATCCTGTTTAGTGCTTTACTTACTTGCAAAGATTAAGCGAAGATGTTGATAAATTAATATAAAATCCACTTAATTGGACTAAGACATTCTTTTCCAAAATACCTGTGGAGCAAATTAGTATTGTAAATAATTTTAATCATTTTCAACAGCCTTAAAAGTTTACTTTTTATATTAAAAAAGAGAAAATAAATAGATGAGTTCTTGTAGAACTGTTTGTTATTTTTGAATACACAACAATCTCACGCTAAGAATTTGCTATATCCTCTTGCTAAAATGACTAAAATCACCACAAATGACTTTGGATAAAAGTGTTTCGAAGTGATTAACGAAGTAGCAAAGACATCCGATAGATCTTAAAGCGATCTTAAAAAGATTCTGAGAGAAATATGTTTCAAATATACGTATAAAAGAGACTTGGAGAAAGTACCTTTACATGTGATTAGAGGATTAATTGAAACAGTTAAAATTTTCGAAGAACCCTTTATTCATAACTAAGTTCATCTGTCTAGAGTTAACTGCTGGCTTGACTAAGTAAAATAAAATATAAATTGCAGCATTCAAAAAATATTTTAAATTTAAAGAAATCTTTGATTAATTAAATTATTTATTTATAAAAAAAGATGGTTGTTAGGTATTCTTAAAATACGTTTGTCATATAGAATAATATTTACCAAATAGATGAAAGCATTTTAGAGTAAGCTACTTTATTATTAAGCAATTTATACTTCAAATTTATTTATTTTATTTCAGATTTCTTTCATTGATTTGCAAAGAGCCAGAAAAGGTTAAGCTGTTTTGCAAAAAGACAACAAATGAATTCTTAGATGAAAATTTTGGTAAAAATGAAGGATAAAATATGATAGTCACTCATGACGAGGAAGAAGAATAAGACAAAAAAAATAATGAAGAAGATGAAAGAAATGACTAATAAGAAGAAGACGAAAATGAAGATAACTAAATCAACTTTTTCGATAGATTAATTTATTTATTTAGTATAATAGTCAATTCTAAATACAGTACCTAGTATATTAATTGTCTTCAGATATTTTACAATGCATGCTAATGCGATGAAGAAGTCGGTTAAAAAGTTGCAGAGTAATTTTTAAACACCAGATCCAAAAATATCAATTTCATGCAAATATTGGAAGACGAAATTGCAAATTACCTCAGAATCCTAAAGCAAGGAAATAACACCCTTAATGATGGATAAAAATCCGTAATTAATTTATTTATTAAGCATCAAAATGTTATAAAAGTTATTAAAAAGTATTATCATAATTTGAAAAATTATGTATTAATATGAATAAATAATAATTTGAAAAGAAAAAAAATACTTATTAGCCAATAGCATTTGATACTAATTTGAAAAGCAAATTTGATTTGAATTAATAACTCAATATAAAATTTAATAAAATTTTTATCAATTTTATTCATGCAGATAAATATAAAAATTATTTAAATTAATTTAATAACAATGATTTTTTTTTTTAATGCTATTTTATTGTTACTAAATAAAAATAAAAATTTGATTTAGTAAATTAAAATTTTATTTTATCAATATTGAAAATTAATTTAGATAAATTATTTAAATTGATTAAAAATTAGATTTCTAAAGAAGAATTAGCCAATAGATACTTAAAGTTTTCTGAACTTATTAAAACTTATGGAGCTATCTATCATTATCACGAATTTAAGAAGAAAGAACTCCAAGAATAAAGTGGAATATTGCATGATCTTTTGCTTATTGTTTCTTTGGAGTTTGTGGATCCTATTTTACTTGCAGCAATTTGTGAATTCACTAGAAATTTGCTTGATAACAAAACAATTGTACAAAATAAAGAAAATTTAAATACTATTAAATCCAAGACTTAAAAATTGGGATAGCTACTTTCTTATTTAGGTGATACAAAATATGAATAACTCTGCAAATATTTAGGTATGTTTAAAATAAATTATTATATTTTATATATTATTTCATCAATAATTAAGAATTTCTAAGCAATTAATCAATCTTTCGTTTAGTTAAATTAATTAACAAATTTTTTTGTTTATAAATTTTTAATAGGCCTTAATGCTGTAAATTTGATGCACTAAAATGACGAAAGAATATAAAGTCTAATCAGGGAAATTGTTCTTTTGTTTAAATGGTTTAGTGAAAAATAGACTAAATGGTAGAATTAAAATTAAGGAGAAAAAAAGAAATAAGATTTTGAGTTAGAATACGAATCAGTTTCTTCCTTTCTTGAATAATAAGGTAGAGAAAATAACCTATTCAAATGCTTGGCAATACCAAATGATGATGTTAGACTTGTTATCGTTGAGTGTTTAATGACTATGCCTATTGAATAGTGGAAATCTCAGTAAATTTGCGTTTTGTTTAATATTGCAAATGGATATAAAAGCTTAGGTGCAGGAAAAACTGAAAAAGTTTTATCAAATATTTTCATGATTGCAAGCAAATTTTGCATCTTAAGTGATGAAAAGAAATCAAAAGACTTTGAAATAATTTATGCAGAAAACTCAGTTCTGGATGTCTAAAAAGTGTAATAACTTAATGATGAATTGCATTAAAAAATATATAATTATTGTACTATTAATAATAAGACTTCTCATAGATATGGAAAGAGATTTAAGAGAGGACCCAGATGAAGAACAAGAAAAAATTGAACTGGCAATAGCTTGTGTTAATTTCTTGATTTCTTTGAGCGCTAAATTTGAATTGAGAAAGCTTGCTAAATCTTAGCAAATAGGAACAACTTTAAAAAAAGTTCTTCTATTAGAAGAAGAGTATTTGCCTGATAGTGCCATCCCGATTGAAATAGAAAGAACTTGGGCAGGAAGGTTCTTGCATTATATTTTACCTATATTATAAGGTAAAGACTCTCTCTACCCCTATAGCTATATATCCTTTAGAATCCTATGTAGAATTGCTGATAACTTATAAAGAAAAGTAATTAATTAATTTTTAGTGCAACTTAAGTTAAAACCTATTTTGTTTAAAATTGATTTAATTTTATCAAGAATCATTAAAACTATTAAAAGAAACCCTACCAATTACTATTTAACTCTTACATGTTAAATAAATAATTTTCTCTTTAATTTTACTAATTTAGATTTATGGTAGAATAAATTTTATTTTTATTTTTATCATAATGTATTTACAGTATTTACATTTGTTAAATTGTTATAATACATATATTAAATTAGGGAGAAGAATAAGCGGAGGACCTTAAAGAATTTGATTATTTATATAAATATGAAGAAATTTACAAGAAAAAATACAAGAGGTTTTAAGAGCGTAAGAGCAATGAGTTGAAGCTATGGGATTAATTAAAAGGTAAGATAATAATTATTAGATTTTTATTGATGAATTAACAATAATAAATAGAAATAGAAGTATAATAAGATTAATCTCAATTGTATCTTGATGATGTTGAGTATGCAAAAGAGATTTAATAAGTCATGAACTGCAATCTTATTTAGGTACTAATCAATTTTTTAATTGGAAATAACCAGTCTCAAAAGTCAAGTAACCAATTTTAATTGTTTTTCTTTGAGTATTACTTAATATTTATTAATAAATTTAATGTTTTATTTAGTGGTCTTGGAGTCTGATTTGAAAATGCAATTTTAAGAGCTATAACTTGAATATGAGTTCAAAGAGCAAATGCTTTCAATTATATACAAACTTAGAGATAAAATCTTTCACAGCAAAACTGACTAAATAGACGACTTAGAATTAGATTTAAATTTTAAAAAAGGAGAACTTTCCAAGAAAGATAGAGAATTGCTTTACAGCAAATCTCACAGAGATTTGATTACAAAAGGATATATATTGCTTCATAATGAAATTGATGAATAAAAGATTTAAGATCATCTTGATTAGGCCATTCAATAGCCTATTGTTTCTGCTTAGCAATATAATATGAAAAATGCTTCTAATGTTAAAAAATAGTTTTTACATCAAGATCATGCTTAGGAAGAACTTTTAGAAAATTTTGAAGAGGAAAAAGTTAAGAAAAAGTCAAAGAAAAGCAAACTAAAAAATATTAGAGCAACTTCTTAAGTGCCAAAAAAGCTTAGAGTTTTGATGGTTAGCAGTCTGTTGAGATGCATTTACGCTTTATGCATTAACTCAGACAAACAAACAAAAAAATAAATCACAACAGTCCTAGAGGCAAAAGCTAGTAAATAAACAAATAATTTTTTAGATAGTTTAAATTGATAAAAATAATTTATTTATTAAATAGATATAAAAAATTTAACCTGCTTGTGTGATTGGGCTGGTTGGAGTGAAGGGAATATAGCAGCAAAGTATCTCTGGATAATTAACTTTATTTTAGATTAAAGCCAAGAAAGTAGAAAGATAGAATATATTTATAACTATGAAATTATAGCCAAAGTTTGTCATAGAATAACTAAAATTATTGAAAGAAAGCTCTTAGAGGATGAAAAAAGTCCTATATCAGAAGATGATAAGATTATTATGAAAGAGTTGTGCAGTGCTTTAAGCACAATGATGCAAAATATATGCAAATTTAATTGGAATAGCTTAATAACAGATGAAGGAAATCCAGATGACAAAAAAGATAGCACCAACAAGAAAATAGATAAATTGCCAAAAGAAGAGCTTGAATAATTCTTGCTGAAGTGTAACTTAATATGCACAGAAACTCTCTTATTGAAGATCCTCCCATTTTAATAGTTTAAAACTTTTATAAGCATAGCTTGTTTTTTTATGAAATCTTCAACTGAATTTGCAAAAAAGGTGGAATCACCATTAGAAATTTCAACTAGAGAATTAGTAATGATTTCACTTTCAAATCTAATAGGTATGCTTGTTTTTGAATAAATTTATTAAAATAATTTTATTTTTGTTTTATTTGTATTTTAGGCACTTACATTTGTGGTATTAATTCAAAGAGACAAGATGTAATGAGAATTTTCACATATGCAGAGGTCTTTGAAAAGAAAGTTATCAGAAAGTCTTATCTACAAAATATCCTAGACATTTGTTCTTATAAGAGCTTCGAATTTATTTTGGTAAATACATTTTTTTAAATAAACAAAAATTCAAAATAAACAAAATTTGTGTTTTTCTTTTTTAAATATATTTCTATTGTTCATCAATTTTACTGAAAATCTATTTATTTATTTAATTAAACTTTTAAAATTTAAAATAATTTATTTTCATTACATTTTATTTAGTTTTTTTAAAAAACAAGGAAATTGAAATATTATAAAAAAAAACAATTTTCACAATTTAATTAATTTTAAGTTTCAAATATAAATTGCTTATTGACAAATATTTTATTTAATGAAGCATTTAGATGAATTTCTTAATGTTAATTTAGGAATTCATTTTTAAATATAACTTTTAATTTAATATTTTTTAGAATTTATGCTAGATTTTAAGATAAATTAATTTAAATTTTAAAATGAAATGATTACTTTTCTTTTGATGGAAATCTTATTTTATTAATTTTTTGCTTTCAAAAAGTTAATTTTAATTTAAATTAAAATACAATCTTTTAGTTTAATTAAATGAATCTTTAAATGGTTTTTTGATGAATTAAAATTTGCTTGTGTCAATTGGAAATTTAATTTTTGACTAACTTAAAATATGTTTAATAAAATTACAATAATTTTAATATTTAAATTATTATTTTTTATCATAATAAAATTTTTAAAACAAACTAATTTTAACTTTATAGGAAAAAATAATAGAGGCAGAAAATAAATAAGAAGGAAGATCAAACAAACTTTTATGTGCATTCCATATTCATTATCGAGATGTAAATATGGGGAAGTATTAGAATGGATTTTTAGTAAGGTTAAAGCAAGATATTAGAATATACAAATATGATAGAAATACATTTTTAAACACTTTAGAGAGTGCTGATATCAGTTTATTTAAAAAAATAAGCAGAGTTAGATTTATAAGAGAATCGGATATAGATGAATGTCTTACTGCAGAGACACATCAAAGGATAATATTAAAAATGGGAAGTGAATTCTTAAATGTTCTATTTTTGAATGAAAAGTAAGGGGATATTTTCTTAAGGACGATAAAGAATAAAACTCGTAAAGATACATTCATTGCTGAGGCTCTTGCATACAGATTAAACAGCATTAATTAAAAAGATAAAGGTGCTAAAAATCAGCAATAACATATTAAAAACTATCTGCAATGGGTATGTGTGAATCCTGAATTGCCTTAAGACAGAGATAATGAAACAAATATTTAGAATAAAACTCTCATATTACTAGATAATTAACAAATACTTTTCTTTTAAGAAAATTAGAAGCATTGGATTTACCTTCAAAATAGAGAAGGAATGTAGCTAGAGCTTGAGCAAACTAATAATACACCTGCAGCAGGAAAAAGTAAGAAGTCAAAATCATAAAGCTAGGTTTCAATATACAATGAGCAATAGCTTAATAAGATATAAAATTACTTCTAGCCTGTATTTGAGCCAATAAAAATAAACTCTTAGATAAAGCAAGTTATTTATGATCAAACAATAGTCACATAGGTGATGATTAAAACAGCGTAATACATTAATTAAAATTTCTTAGATTGTTATCAAAATAATAATCATAAATAAAAATATAAATAAACAGGAAAGTTTACAAGTTGCTCTTCATGGGGGATGAAGAAAGAGAAAACTTTAGAAGCCACATGATACTAAGAATAGTAAAATTATTTATATTTAATTAATCTAATTAATACTTCTTTATAATACAAGAATAATTTAACAAAGTGGAACCAGAGATTTGACAAAGTAGAAATTTGAAAATTAACTTGAAAATAATCACTTCAACATTTTTAAATACAAACAAACAAAATTAGCTTTTTAAAATATTATTAATTATTTTCTTTTAAAATATATTTGTATGTAAATAAAATAAATAACTTAAATAAATTAAATATTCACATTTTTATTCACTTGCAAGATTTCTTTTTTAAAATGGACTTTAAATTTTGAAAAGGATTTTTTTTACTTGTAAGATATCTTTTAAATATCTTTAAAAATGGACTTTTATTTTGAAAAGAATTTCTTTTCTTTGATAAAGAATTTATTAAATTATTTAAAAATAAATTTATCGAATTATCTTAATATTTTTAATAGGTTTTAATTATTAATAAATAAAGTTAATTAATATCATTTTTTAAATTAGGATTTTTGTATTCATTTATGAGATGATTAAATTTCTATTTATATCAATGTATTTGAATTATCAATATAAATTAATTGTATGATTTACTTAATAATTAATTTTAGTTAAGTTAGTGTTAAGATCTTACGAATAATTAGATATTTTTATTTTATTTTATGAAAATTAATTAAATTTAATTTGCGGAGACAAACAAACTAATATTTTTTGAATATTTTTATTTTTTTGAATTTATTTAATTATTAGATTAAGAATTTGTTTGATTCTACTTTTATCAAAACAATAAAGAATTTCTTTCTATTTATTTTGAAACTTTATATATTATATTTTGTAAATAAAAAATTTTTGAAAAGCTAAAATTGTTAATTTTATTCAAAGATCTATGTAAAAAATAGATGAGAAGAATTAATTGATTGATTGATTGAATTTCTGATAAAATTAGAAAAATAATTAAAATGAAAAAGGGATTATAAACAAATATAAATAATTAGTTTATTTATTTATCTATCTATATAATACATTTTAAAGTTGCTTTCAGAATGTTTATTGATTGATCTATTATTGTTTATTTTGTTTTTATTACAATGTTTGTTTTATTGTTTATTCTTTTATTTATTATTTGCTTTATTGTTTGTTTATTTGCTTGTTTTACTTGCTTGCCTTAATTTATTTTGTCTCAGATAGAGAGGAAATCCATAAATTATTCTTTATTTTCATAAGTTGAGGTTTTGGGTCTACCAAGGTTCTTTCTAGCACCAGGCTTGATCTTGACTTCTAAGAAAGCAGGACCTTCAGCACTTTGGACGAGTTTAAGCTTTTCCTTGATTTCTTCTTCAGTAGTGGCTTGGTAGGCAACCTTGTAGCCAGATGCTAAAGCCAACTTACAGAAGTCTACGTATTTAGCGGCAGTAGGTTGAGCACCGACGGAATCGTGAGCTTCATTGTTGAAAAGAACATGTCTGTAATTGTTGGGCTTAGTTTAACCTACGGTGGTCATGGAACCTAAGTGCATAATCAAACCACCATCACCATCGAAGCACCATACATTTCTGGAGCTTTTTTAGTTGGCAATACCTAAAGCGATAGAGGCGGCATGACCCATGGAACCGACAGTCAAGAAATCTCTTTCGTGACCTTATCCGTTTTAATCTCTAATTTCATACAATTCTCTTGAGAGGAAACCGGTAGATCCAACAATAACATCATGAGAACCGAGCATAGGAATAATAGCATTTAAGGCTTGTTCTCTGTTAAGAGGGTAAGGATTTGTAACAGAGTTTTTCAACTTGTAGTTAGTGAAACATTATCTTTTAACTACTAAAGCGAAAGGAGATTTTCTCTTTTTGGCTGATTGGACAGCAGATTCGACAGCTTCGGTAGCACCTTCAATGAAATCAGGAAGGACTTCGAATTAGATACCCATTTCGGTGATTAAACCATTCATGGTTTTACCTTAGACTAAATGTTGGGGTTCATCCTTCTTACCAGGTTCACCTCTCCAACCGATTAACAAGATCATGGGGATACCATAAACTTATCTGTGAGCCAAAGACATAATAGGATTAACAATATTTCCCAAACCAGAGTTTTGTAAGTAGACCATGGGAACTTTACCAGTGGCCAAGTGATATCCGGTAGCGAGAGCAACAGCACTTCCTTCATTGGCAGTAATGATGTGGTTCTTAGGATCAGCATGATCTATTCAGATGTAATAAAAAAGAAGATTAGACTTTGAATATATCAAATAAAAATCATGCATTTCATGAACTTGAGTTCATTTTGCATTCGAAAAGGATATAAATATGTTTCTCATTTGTTACCTGAAACGTAAGCGCAGAAATCCTTAAGGAGAGAATCGGGAACACCTGTGAAGAAGTGAACTCCGTTCTTTTGTAAGCATTAGTAGAAATCCTTAGGATCTAAGAAATCTCTAGTTAATTCGAGATAAGGCAATTCTTCGGTTTCTCTCTTGCCAGATAAGAAGAACTTAGAGTGGTAGCCCATTAATTATGATCTTTGGGCTAAGCCTTATAATCCTCTGTAGAAAATCTTTGAAATCATTTTTAACTATATCTTTTTTTTATTACTTTTATTTACTAATGCTATTGATAAACTATAAAGTTTTTTAATTTAATTTAATAGAAATTAATTAATTATCTGTATCTTCACTTTTTCAAAATCTGCTTCAATTTAAGCACACAAAATTAATTCTTAATAAACACAAATAGGTAGGCAGGCGGCATATATATAATATATAGAGACTGATTGATAGATAGATATATATATAAATATATTGTTTCGATGCAAATCTTTTAATTGAAAAAATTATAATTTTAATGATAAATGTATAACAATTCTAGTTGACAAATCAATTTATTATTTTAAATTTCACAAGTATTCATAAATTTAACAAGAAAATTTATGATTAAATTAGATTACAAATCAAATGAAAAATTTTAGTTCCAAAAAAAAGAAGGAAAGTAATGAAGACATAGTATGAAATTCAAATGATAAATTTAAGTGAAAATCTGTGGTGAAAAAATTTGTTTGCTCAAAGCTTTTGAAGAAAAGATAAAAAATTAAAAAAATTGAATTTATGAAGGTTCTATCTAATAACTATATTAAGGCATTAAAAATAAAAAAATCAACTTATTTATCAATAGCTACTTAAGTAAAATTATAAATTTTAATACCAAAATTAATAAAAGGGATCAAATTTATTCAACTAAATTTATAAATAATCAAATTACACCCTTTACATGTTTCTAAAATTTTTAATTGACGAATCATTGATTAATTATCAAATAAATTCATAATTACGCCTTCTTAATTGAGTCATTTTTAATTAGAAACAAATCTCAAAGTATTCTTATCTCGTTATATGTTTCAAATAACTAAATAAATTTATTAATTATAACGTGCATTTCTTAATTTTTCAAATCTAAGTTTACTTATTTTTTAATATTTTATCCTGCTTTTCTAAAACTAAAAAATCCATATTGTTATACATTTAGCTCCCTTATAGGATTACGAAAAATAAACATTATAAGAATTAAGTTAAGTAGAATTTAATAAAATAAATAAAATTAGATGGTACTGAAAATAAAAATACTACGATAAGTATCTATATCATTAATAATTTTCATAGAACAAAATAAATTTGAATTCATCTATTTATCTTACTAATTATTTTTAAATTTGAAGTAAATCACATATAAAAGTATCTAAATAACAAAAGCCATATGAAAAATTAATTAATTAATTTCTTCCATCGTTATTAAATTAAGTAATTAATTAGTTAGATATAATTACGTGTAAAGATCAAAAAATATATTCTTAATACCTTTCTAATTAGCTTCACTATTGAATAATTTGAAATTTTTCCTATCTATTTTAACTACTTATTTTTCAAAATTTAGTAATATCAGTAATTAATCGTTTGCTTTTTTTAATTACACCATACCATGTAGATGTGTAGACTTTCTTATCAAATTAATTATTATCAAAAATTGTACTTTTGGGACTTTTTCATCATCTATTTTTCTATTTCTAAATAAAAAAAATCATTTTTTAATAGACTAAAAAATTATTAAAATATTTTAAGAAATAATTTAAAATACAAGATTAAAAATAAAAATAACCTCATTAAGTTTCATAGTAAATCAAAATATATAATTATTACATCATTATTCATCAATGCTTTATAAAATAATAAATAAAAAAATATATAAAAAATTTTTTTTATTCTATCTTTAAAAAAATTATAAATAAAATTTAATTTCTTTCAAAAATTATATTTTTTGCTTAATATTATAAATATTTAATCAATCTTACATTTTCTATAAAATTTATTGACCTTACTAGATAAATAAATATAGTAATTCATTATAGTATTTAATAAATTGTATTATTGATGTACACAAAGATAATCATCGGTTTTGCATAATATCATACAGTTATCTTCTGTTTTAGATGATTATTCTTTACTGAATGTTTAGCTAAATAAAGCTAGTTAAATATAATTTATTAAACCTTGTTAAATTTAATGAATTTTTAAATAATTTTTAACTTTTGTATGCTGTAAAAATAAAATAATTAAATTTTTCTCATAATTTTTCTAATTGCTATTTCTAATTTTTCCATATAAATATAATATCATGATTAAGAGGGAATCATAAAGATATAAATCTTCAAAATTCTAATATTATTCTATTAACTAAATCAAAATAGATTATTTAAAAATACAATTTCCTTAAAACAAGCAAAAACAAACATAAAAATTGATCTGAAATATTTTTTTTAATTTTAATTTTGTTTTTTTTCATGGATTAATTGTTTAATCCTAATAAATTTTATTAATTTAATTTAATATGATGTGATTTATTATTTATTTATATTAATATTTTTACAGATATTTAAATTTATTTCAAATTTTACAATTTTATTAAATACTTTTCCTTTTTTAAACACTTAAGTTTTTTATTTATATTTTATCTAACATAAATTACATCTTCTAATATATTTTTAATATATTCCTCTCATTCATTTTGTAAGTATGAATAATTTAATCAAAAAAAAAATAAAAGCTATAAAATGGGAAACTCAAAAAATAAAATTAATAAAGTTCTAGAAAACTTTTCACCAAATAATTTAAATAATGTATGCTCAATTCTAAAAATAGACAATTCTAATTTTAATTTATGGATAAAATATTTTAATTATATTTAAAATAAAGAACCATTATTCTTTCATTAGCCAAAAAACTTTCAAATAAAACTAAGATTTTGATACAAAATAGATAAAATTAAAATTAATTAATTGATATAATTGCTAATCTTCTTATAATAGCTTATTTATTTAAAATATAGTTCTTGAAATCAGATCTCTTTAAAAATGAACAATTTTCTGTTTAATTTTAGTAAATAAAATTCTTAAAATATTTTTTATATGTTGAATTTTTACTGAATTTATTAATTATTATTATTCTTTTCCTATTATTATTAATTATAAATCTTTTTTATAAAACAGTAACGAGATTCTGTTTAATTTTAAGAATTTTGATTTTGATTCTCAAAAAATAAGTATAAATGATATGAATATGAGAGCACTTAAAATAGAGTAATAAATATTTAAGATTGATCAATTAATTTATCTTATTTAAATTTTATTATTTAAATCCATAAATATTAGAACATTTTTGGCAAAAATAAATCACTAAGAGCTCTCTTAATTATTCTAATAGATTAAGTAAAGTAGATAATTCTTTGAAATACTTTAACTATCATTGAAGTAAAATATTACATTTAATTATAAACAATGCAAAAATCTATAATGACAATTTTAAATTTAATAAAAGGAGATGCTATATTGAAGATTAAGGAATAAAATTATTAAGTACTCTAATTGAAGATTGTCAAACAAATATCCTTATTTTAAGACTAAATTTGACGTAATAAATTATAATTTTTCAAGTTAATTAGCCTCTTAAGCTTAATTTTATTTAATAATTTTAAATTTAATTTCTTATAAAATATTTAAAAAATTTAAATATTATTTTGGATAATTAATTTTCTTTTATAATATTAATATTTTTAAAAGATTTAATAAGAAATTAAATTATTAAAAACTTACAAATACAAATAAATAATAAAATTATTCAGACTTTTTTTATAATTTTTTTTGAATTATTTTTTAATATTTAAAATAATAATTGTTTTTGTTTTTAGGGAGAATAAAATAACGAATTTAGGATTTACTTAATTGTGCTAAAGTTTAGCTAAATGCTCAAGTTTGAGCTATTTAACATTAGGTTTAATGTAAAATTAATATATTTACTTATTTATTTTATTCACATTTCTCTCAAAGATAAAAATTATTTTAATTATTTTTTTGTGGTAAATTTGATTAACTATTTGTTTTTTTTGAAATAATAGGAGAAATACAATTAAAGATAATGGAGTTTTAGAACTGATAAATTTGTTTTAAAATAATAAAAACATCATCAATTTAAACTTAGATTTAGGGTAAAAAATTTATTTAACTTTTTTAATATTTTAAATAACTTGATCTATTTTTAAACTCAAACAAAATATATATTATCTAACTCTATTTTAAAAATAATTAATTAAATAAGAACAAATAATTTAAATTTTTTTATTTTTAGATAAAATTAAATAGGAGATTCAGGATTAAATAGTTTAGCCTAAGGCTTAGAGTTATGTTTTAATCTTTGTAATCTAACTCTGAACTTATTGTAAACTTTAGCATAATTAATTCTAAATTATTTACAATTTAAAATCTATTTTAAAATATTTCTATTAAAATTTTTAAAATGATTCTTTATTCAAAATATTTTAATGATTAACTTTTAAAAAAATTATTTAAGTTAAAACAAATTTGGAGAATAAGGAGCTTCTCACTTAGGAAAAAGATTAGGAACACTGAAAAATATTTCTAATTTAACTCTTGATTTAAGGTTAAATTAAATTTATTTTTTAAATAATTAATGATATTCATTATATTTCTCTGCTAAAAATTGCAAAATAAACTTTATTTAATTTTATATTCATAAAAAAGCTCAAACAAAATTGGGAGCAAAGGACTTTAAAACTTGAACAGAGGTTTAGGATTTTCATAAAATTTACAAAATTTAAAGCTTATTTTGATGTAAATTCTATTTTAGTATTTAATATATTGAAATTTTTAAAAAAATGATTAATTTCATATTGATATATCAATTTTTAATTAACTATAATAATGAAAAATATATTTTTAATTATAAAGAGTTTAAATATAACTAAATGATTAGATATTAAACATAATATCTAAAAAATAAATAAAATGTATCTATAAACTAATATAATAGATAAATTCTCATTATTGAAAATAATTTCAATATTTACAATATTTTTGCAAGAAAAAAATGATTTTCTAATTTAAATTTAAATCTAAGCAATAAATTAATTTCTATATAAAAAAGAATGTGCAATATTGGAGATGATGAAGTATCAGGTATGATAACAGGGTTATCAAAATGCTTAAAATTGAGTTGTTTATCCTTAGAGTTTAGGTGAAATAGTTAATTTTTATATAATTATACTATAAAATTGGAATTAATTTAAGTTTTTTTATATATCCATATTTCAAATCATTAAACCGATAAAGAAACTTAATGAATTCCTCACAAAAAAAATAATTTATACTTTTAATTTGGATATCATTTTTTAATCATATTGTTCGATTTTTTTTAATAAAGACAAAACTATTAAAATTTTCATTAATTTAAGCTAGAAACCCAAAGTATTTTATTACATTTTACAAAAAATAATTTTCAAAACCATGTAAAAATATCAAATTTATTACTATTTTAGCCATCAAACCAAAAATAAATTAAAATAATTAAAATTTTTTTACAATAAAAATGAATTCAACATATTAATAAATTAAACTACCATGTTTTATATTATTAACCTCTTCTTCATAATCA